GAGGGTTTTCTAATTAGAGAAAAATTTGTGAACAAAGCAACAGAAAGGTATGAGAAGGCCTGGCATGTTTAAGTACTAGCAGTGATTCAGTATGGCTAGAGGGTAGCATGAATGGGCAAATAATGGGAGAGTAAGGCAGAGAGACAGCAGAGATGGAATCAAGAAAATGCCCTTTTTGTTATAAGAAGTTTGAACTTTATTCTGTAGGCAGTGGAGAGTCATTAATAATTTATACGCAAGAGAATGACTGACTGACTGATTCTGTGGGTTTTTTATGTCTATAAGAAAACATTTTAGTGAAGAAAGATTTGGGTGTTGTCAGTCTGGAGGTGTGGAAACCAGTTGGGAAATTAATAATCCAGGTAAGAATTGAGGGTCTGAAGTAATTAAAGCTATAGTAATAGGGATGGACAGGCAGAAGTATCTAAAGAAACTTAATGATGGATTGGATTGAAGAGAGGAGTCAAAATTTACTTCCTGGTTTTCAGCTTATATATCTAGGTCAATGGGGATACTTTTCACTATAATGGCAATATAGTTTGGGAAGGACAGTGTAAGTTCTGTGTGGTAGATTGCTTTGAGAACCTGTTGGGCATCCATATAGACATCCAGTAAGTTATTGGGTATATGGGGCTAGAGATAAAATTTCAGAAGTCATCAATAATGAAGTTGCCCAGAAAAAGCATTTAGACCTGGAATATTCCTAACCTGGAATCCAGATATCTTGAGATTACCAAAATATTGTATATGTAACTTTTGTTAGAAGGTTCATAGTTCTCATCAGGTTCTCAACAGAGATAATAAACACTATTTAGTGTGAAAAGGGGTCAAGGATAGAGCCCCCAGTATCTTTATTGTATAAGTGATGGCCCAGGGAAGCAACTGCTACAAAGGAGGTAGAAGAGAAACAAGAATGAAGAGAGAATCATACTGAAACCTAAGTAGGGGCAGCATTGGCTGATGCTACAGGAGGACATGTGTCAAGTAAGATAAAGACTAAAGAATTCATTGGTTTGACCATTAAAAGATTGGTAAAATTGTTCATAATGAACAAGTTAGAATGAATGTATTTGTATTTAATGAAGCTCCCTGCAGAGACACCATGGTTTCTAAAAATTGTAAGGAGTTCTGGCCTAAAATAAAATTCAGATACCTCAGCCTGGTGTACAAGGCTGTCTAAAATTTGTTCTTGCCTTTCCATTACAATTTTATTCTCACTTTAACATTCTGAACTTTAAAGCTAGTCAAAACTATCTCTGTTGTTTTCTGGAAAAAAACAAAAACCTGTTGCAGTTGAATTGGATTCGTAGCGACCCTACAGGACAAGGTAGAACTGCCCTATAGGGTTTACAAGGCTGTAATTACAGAAGCAGATTGTTACATCTTCTCCTGCAGAGCAGCTGGTGGATTTGAACCAAGACCTTTCAGTTAGCAGCTGAGCTCTTAACCAGTGCACCACCAGAGCTCCTTTGTGTTCTGGATACTTCATGCAAATCTTAGCTCTATGCTCCTGCTTGTGTTTTTCATCCTGCCTGGTTCCCTACTGAACAAATTCTATGAGTCTTGCACTGTGTAGTTTTATTCTTCCTTTGTGTCCTGTTTTGATTATTTGACCTATATTGATTTTCTTCTTCCTTTATAACCTAGTGGTACTTGTCATCTTACTTGTTTTGGCATTTTTAAATAGTATTACCTTGCATTGCTTCTTACTTCACGTATTATTTCCTTCTTTCCCCAATGAGATTTTAACTCCTAAAGGCTAGTAATATCTTATAATTAATCACACCCTCTAGTGGCAGAATTTTCAATACTTACTGTAGATGCTAAAATATTTGAATGAACTTAAGCTAAGTCAAACATAGTATGGGAAAACAGCTTTAAGAAAAAATTCATATGATGCATTCCAAATTACAGAGCAGTGATTTAGTGATCATTTTGTCCACTGTACTCCATTGTATAGGGAATCAAGAGTTGATTACATACCAGAATGAGATAGTGATAGCACACTTATATAAAACTTAAGAACTTTTTGGCTTTTACGGGGAATTTTAGGTGTCAGATTAATTGAATTTATTTCCTGAGTCAAAATTATTTTTCCATGATAAAAATTAGCTTGCTTTTCAAAATGAAAATAACGGTTTTAGGACTTTAAAAGTTGCATATAAAATAAAATACAGAAGTTTACAAAGTAGGAGTATAATACTTTTTCTGTTTCACCAGAGACATTCATCTGTTATAAGCATCTTTATAGTGCCTCTTATAAACTAAGCAAGTATCAGTGTGTTTAACGTAACAAAACATAGTCACTAAAAGTGCAAGTGACATCCAAGATTAAAACATAATAAATTATTTTTGGAAGAAAAATCTTTCTGAATTTATATGTTAAACTTCAGTGGTGGGATGATTTGTAGTTTTACTAGATGATAATTTTTCATCAGGAGCTCTGGTAGCAAAGTGCGTAAGGCACACTGGGCTGCTAACTAGAAGGCTGGCGGTTCGTACCCACCAGCCACTCTCGGAAAGAAGGTTGGGCAATCTACTTCCATAGTGATACTGCCTCAGCAACCAAGGAGGGGTCGCGGTGAGTCAGGTCCAACTCGACGGCACATAACAACAACAACAACAATTTTTCATCATCTTACTTATATATAATATTTGTTTCATTGTTTGCTGGCAAATTTGGCATAACTCAGAACTGTGGTAGGGAAAAAAAAACAAGGGTTGCATTGCTTTATTCTGGCATCAGAGAAAAAAAAATCTCTTAGAATTGAGAAATAGATTAAGTTAGATATTGCTTAATGGTTCTCATTATTGGTGTGCAGATATCTGCTAAGAATAACCCCAATCACAATAATTATCTGACATTCAGAAGAAATAAATCCTTAGACTTTAGTGAACCCTCAATTTGACATACTTTAATGAATGTCTTGGTTTTGAGGTTTGTATTTTTTTCCTAGAAATCATAATGTATGTTTCCACGAAAGTGAAGTTTTTGTTATATCCTTATAACATAATTAAAATTTTTTTTTTAACAGAAAACATATTTTGACTAGTTTTCACAAAGAAGCAAAGTTCTTTTAATTCACAAGAATTATTGCTTGCTGAGTAGAATGTAATGTAGCATTAAAATCCAGATCTTTCTGGGGGATAAAATAAGCTTCTCACTAGCTAGCTAAGTGACTTACTTTAGCACAACTGCCTCACAATGCTCCTCACCCCAGTCTGTGCCTCAGCAGTATTTCAAATACCACATGTCCTACACCTGCCATATAATTTGGAAAGCCTTTATAAATATTAAAATGCTGCCATAGGTATCCCTACTTTATAATAAAAACTTCATTAAAATTTTCAGAGAAAAGCAAAATGTATCCCAATTAGTATTTATCAATATCTTATGAGCTAAAATGATAAGTAAAAACTGTAGGATGGAGTTTAATCACTTTGATATATCAGAAGGCATTTTATGGTCCTATTTTACCTGGGGTATGAGGATGTATCTTTGTTATTAGTCCAGAGGACAAAAAAATATATATATAAAATTGAAAGATTTTATTTCAGAATTTTCTGTTACACATACTTAACTACCTTTGTCAAAAGAAATGTAGTCAAATCACTGGGGTGGAAAGACAAGATTCCAGATACCATGGTGGCCAACAGCAGTCTGAAAGAAAAACCAAAAGATTTGATCTTTGGTAGATTGAGTACCTGCTATCTAACCCAATCGTGGGTGAGTACAACTTGGGTAGTATACATTATCTAGAACAGTCCAGTGGAAATACGTATTTTAAATTTCCTAATAGCTACTTTAAACGGTAAAAAAAAATCATTTTGAATAATACATTTAATTTATGAGGGCTCTGGTAGCATAGTGCCTGAGGCACTTGACTGCTAACCAGAAGGCTGGCAGTTCAAACCCACTAGCCACTCCTCGGAAGGAAGGTTGGGCAATCTACTAGCCACTCCTCGGAAGGAAGGTTGGGCAATCTACTTCCTTAGTGATACCGCCTCGGAAACCCAAGGAGGGGTCGCTATGAGTCAGGTCTGACTCTACATCACATACAACAAACATATCCAAAATAGGAACTCTGGTAGCATAATGCCTAAGACATTTGACTGCTAACCAGAAGGCTGGCGGTTCAAAGCCACCAGCCACTCCTCGGAAGGTTGGGCAATCTATTTCCGTAGTGATAATGCCTCAGAAACCCAAGGAGGGGTCACAGTGGGTTTGGTATATCCAAAATATTTCAGTGCTGTGTGTGCTGTGTTAACTTGAGTATGTGTCTCCAGTATATTCCACAACCAAACTCAATGATGTTTTCATGTGAAACATTTTTTAAATACTAGAAATACTTTGTTCTTTTTTATGTACTAAATCTTTGAAATTTGGTGTCATACTTAAAAGTACATTACAGTTACCCATATTTCAGGTGTATGTATGACTAGTAATGACTCTATTAGACAGAACATTTCTAGAGCATCCAGGGATTGTGTGCCCGTGACATTAAGAATATAACTTACCTCATTTCCAGTGTATAATATTAAGTTAACCTTAGAGAATGTCTATATCTACATGTAGCCAAGTAAGCCACTAGAGGTCATGAATTGTTAATCTTGGTCATGAATTGTTAATCTTGGGACCACCTGTTTTCAAGATCAAGATAAAAATACTTTTTTGTTTAACCTAATCACTGTTTAGTAGAATACTCATAAATTTCAGTATTGTTTTCTCCAGATAAGACTTTCTAGCAAGACTCTTCAGTCTGTTGTCAGTCATGTTGTGCTACATCTAAATTCTGTACATATTTTATATAATATAAAGGAAAGTAATTTTATTTTTATGATTTGTACTTAATTTATTAGAAAATTGTGACTCTTGACATATTCTGAACTGTATTAAGAAAAATGATAATAAATACCTTACTCTTTGAGATATTTAATTCTATTAAGTAATTGAGACTATCATCTGATTTGCATATTTTTTATTTTTTTTTTATTTTAAGGACATGGAATATTATCTTGTAAAATGGAAAGGATGGCCAGATTCTACAAATACTTGGGAACCTTTGCAAAATCTCAAGTGCCCATTACTACTTCAGCAATTCTCTAATGACAAGCATAATTTTTTATCTCAGGTAAAGAAAGGCAAAGCAATAACTCTTAAAGACAATAATAAAGCTTTGAAACCTGCCATTGCTGAATATATTGTAAAGAAGGCTAAACAAAGGATAGCTCTACAAAGATGGCAAGATGAACTCAACAGAAGAAAGAATCATAAAGGAATGATATTTGTTGAAAATACTGTTGACTTAGAAGGCCCACCTTCAGACTTCTACTACATTAATGAATACAAACCAGCTCCTGGAATCAGTTTAGTAAATGAAGCTACCTTTGGTTGTTCATGTACAGATTGCTTCTTTGAGAAATGTTGTCCTGCTGAAGCTGGAGTTCTTTTGGCTTATAATAAAAACCATCAGATTAAAATCCCACCTGGTACCCCCATCTATGAATGCAACTCACGATGTCAATGTGGACCTGATTGCCCCAATAGGGTTGTACAAAAAGGCACACAGTATTCCCTTTGCATCTTTCGAACTAGCAATGGCTGTGGCTGGGGTGTAAAAACACTTGTGAAGATTAAAAGAATGAGTTTTGTCATGGAATATGTTGGAGAGGTATGTTCAACTTATCACATAGCAAATTGTGTACATGTAAGATTGACATTTTTGAAAAGTTACCTTTTTACTCAGTAACTGTGTTTGGTACATTTTGATATTTGCAGATAAGTGAAAACTCATTTTCAGGTTTGGGAGAAGAGTTCACTGGCACAGTTAAATACATAAACATGTGCATGAACAAAGGATATATATAATGACAAATGAAATGAATATAGTCATCTTTCAACAAATGTCCATTCAGTCATTGAAACTGGTATTTGTGTATTTTAAAATGGAACCACTTTTTATAGGAAGTCCTAAGAAGATTAGATCTAAACACATGCTCACTTTGAAATTTTTAAGTTGTAATTTACTCCGTCTGACCAAATATAGTTCAGTGTAGTTGGCAAATCTCAATTTTGTATCAACATGAAAGATATTGTAGAGTAGACCAATGTTTCATAGACAAGTATTATAAAGTAGACATAAAACAATTTATTGCATTCATAATAAAATCCTAATTGTCTTTACAACTCAGATACTTTGAACCATGAAGCATGTTCTCTGAATTGCTGTATGTTGTTGTTGTTGTTGTTGTTATGTGCCGTCGAGTCGGCCCCGACTCATAGCGACCCCTCCTTGGGTTTCCGAGGCAGTATCACTACGGAAGTAGGATTGCCCAACCTTCCTTCCGAGGAGTGGCTGGTGGGTTTGAACCGCCAGCCCTCTGGATAGCAGTCAAGTGCTTTTAGCCACTATGCTACCAGAGCTCCTCATAGATACTAGCAAATTTATTTTTATACAGATAGAAATGTTTTATACAGATAAAAAGTTTATTTATAAATATGTTTCTATCTATAAAATAGTATTTACTGCTTACTATTCCAAGCACTTTATATATTAACTCATTAATCTTTTCAACAACTCTAGTAGGTATTCTTCTATCTCCATTATTATAAATAAGGAAACTGAGGCACAGAGAAAGTGAGCAACTGGCCCAAGGTCACAGTAATAAAGAGGAGTCAGGATTCAAAACCAAGTTTGCAAAACCAGTGTTCTTTACCTCACACCATACTGCCTCAAACTGAATGGTGGATAAAACATATTCATCTAGAATTCTGAAATTAGATCTTTGTGTTCATACCAATACATTTAGAAAGTGGCAGATTATGATTAATTGTTAGGATACCATATTTTGCACAACCAGATTATTCCTTTTTGGCAGCCAAATTTGGTTGACCTCATGAATCATTAGATATTTTTGGTTTCTTTAGCTGAGCATGTAGTAAAGTTGTGTTTTTAAAAGCAGAACAGTAAATGATGGTTTTGAGCTATAGAATTTCGTGAAAACAACCTATCCTCCAAAATTGAACTTTCCATACAGTTCACTGCAAGTTTAGTATACTTTCTCTCCTGTATTTATAATAAATTATTTGTGACTGCACATAGTTGAGATGAGTGAGAAGTATACCTTTAGAAGCATATACATGTAAATTTAGTCCTTTGCATTTAGTTGTATCCTTAGCTGTAGGTGAATAGCTTTTTACTTTGGTGGGATAGTGCTCAAGGCATTCAACTGCTAACCAGAAGCCTGGCAGTTCAGACCCACCAGCCACTCCACGGAAGGAAGATTGGGCAATCTACTTCCGTAGCGATACTGCCTTGGAAACCCAAGGAGAGGTCGCTATAAGTCGGATCCAACTCAGTGGCAGTGAGTTTTTAGTTTTTAATCATAATGAGAAGACGGCTGGCGGTTCAAACCCACCAGCCACGCCTCGGAAGGAAGGTTGGGCAATCCTACTTCCGTAGTGATAACTGCCTCGGAAACCCAAGGAGGGGTCGCTATGAGTCGGGGCCGACTCGACAGCACATAACAACAACAACATAACAACAGCGTTTCAGCTTTATTGTTGAGTTGTCTCAAATACTATTTAAAAGTTACGGGGTTTTTGTCCCACCATTCTCCTCCATTCATTTTCCAGACTAGGTTGTATGAACGTTTATTGTGATGATGACACCTGGAATTTCTTACTTTTTAAACATTCATATACATTAATAAGCTTTGGGTAATTATTTTTTGAGATTGTTGGTTTTCCATTGCTTCACAGAATGCAGATTTACAGATGATTGTTTCTTTAGTTTAGCAATAGCCATGTTATATACTGTAGTTTTTTTTTTTTCCCCAGGTGATCACAAGTGAAGAAGCTGAAAGACGGGGCCAGTTATATGACAACAAAGGAATCACATATCTCTTTGATCTAGACTATGAATCTGATGAATTCACCGTGGATGCAGCTCGATATGGAAATATATCTCATTTTGTGAATCACAGTGTAAGAAATACTTAAAATATAAACAAGATTAAAATTCAATTTAATACTGTTTAGATGATTTCTATACAGTATCATGAACTATATACCCTTTTAAAGTATATTTTACTTTAAAATATATTAATAAATATTTTAATATGAGGGCTTCTTAAGCATTATTGCTGTATTACAAAAATAAATAATTGAGATGCTTGGCAAATACCAGGTATTTTGCAAGACTCTACGTATGTTACTTCATTTAAACTTTCCACCAACTTTATAAGGTAGATGTTACTCTCCTCTCAAAGGAGGAAATTAATGAGTTTAAGGTAAAAATATTAAGAATCACATACAACTATATAGGTGTCTTACAGAACATAGCTAAATTAAATTAACATAGCTAAATTTTAAGAAGTATGACTCCTAAAATATAAACATGTTAATATTTAAAACTTTACAGAGTATTGAAGTATTTAGGGCTCTTTTTCTAAATTATAAATTGGTATTCTTACTTTTTAATTAATTTTTTTAAAACACTTCAAACACAGTTGAAATCTTAACTCCAGAATCGTACATTCACATCTTATACTCTAAAAACTGTTACCAAAAATAAACAAGTTAGTAGTTATGGGGCACTTACTAAGTGCCAAGTATTTAGCATAACATTAGACTTGCGAGGTTGACCATAATCTCTATTTTATAGGTAAGAAGAAAAATATGTCTCCGAGAGTAAGCTGACGATAGTGAGGAAGTAGATCGTATTGAATTTTGATGGATTTCATACCAAGAAACTTGTTTATGATTACTATTTAAGTGTTGGAGATCTTCTTAATCCCTTTTTAGTTTTATGATTTATTTAAAGTTGTAAGGAATTTTTTCTTAATGATAAATTTGAGGTACTCCAAAAATAGATATATTCTATTCAAGGTCAGTTAAACTAGTTATTTTGATTTCTTAATATGACCTACTATATCTTTCTTGTATACTCCATAATTTAGTTATTAAAATATCAAACACTACCAGATAAAAGCTTAAGCAATGAAACACTATGCTTAATATGAAATTTGAGTTCTGTGGTTGGTTTGATGTTTTAAATACAATTATTCTAGTTCCAGTATATAACTCTGAAATATTTACAGGTAAAATGATATATTCTTTGGAATTTGCATTAAAATTCTCTAAAACAAAAAGTTGAGACCAGATGAAACATTGTTGGTTAAATGTTAAATCTTTAATCAAAATTGGTTAAAGATTATATATGGCTTATAGAAGAGCTCATTACCATTATTTTCATTTAAGTGGGTTATAACATTCCTTTTTAGTGTGACCCAAATCTTCAAGTGTTCAATGTTTTCATTGATAACCTTGACACTCGTCTTCCTCGGATTGCATTATTTTCCACAAGAACCATAAATGCTGGAGAAGAGCTGACTTTTGATTATCAAATGAAAGGTATGGTTTAGCAAGTATAGCTTCAGTGTAAAGGATCTAATTATAGTGGGAAAAGGCTAAAAAATTATCTTCTTACTCAAGGACACAAAGCTAATAGGACAGAGCTAAAACTACATAGAATCCAGGTCTCTCTGACCTTAGACTAAGTAATGTTCTTTCTTCCTCATCATACTGTTTCCTGACTTATTTTGAACTTCCATTTGGAAGCTTATTTATTATAGCATCATTTCTCTCTACCATACTACTTAACATTTTAAAAAAATGATAAGCCTACATCTATGAATAGTTAACTAAGGGGGGATGTTTAGTGAAAAGACTGAAAATATCATGGAAATCACATTAACTTCTTTTCTACTGAATCTGGCTTTTAAATAAGTAAATAAACTCACTGCTGTGGAGTCAGATCCTACTCATAGCGATCCCTCCTTGGGTCTCCGAGACGGTATCACTACAGAAGTAGGTTGCTCAGCCTTCTTACCGAGGAGTGGCTGGTGGGTTTGAACCACCAGCCTTCTGGTTAGCAGTCAAATGCCTTAGGTACTATGCTACCAGAGTTCCTCACTTTTAAATAGAACATTTAATTCTGTTTCCTTCATTTTAACAATATGAAAGTTTTCTTTCCTTTGTTTTTCTAACAATGATCCCCTTTATATATAACTTCTTGGCCTCACATTATATACTCTTTAAGTAATATATAAAATGAATGATTGTATATTAGATTTTTCCAATAAATTTCATCATTCAGAAATCCATTCTCACAAATATGGGCTAAAAGGATACACTTTACAGTTTAATAGTCTACACTGTTTATACCTTCAAGACAATTAATAATGACTTGTCTCTGAATAGGAGCTCTGGTGGTATAGTGCCTAAGGCATTTATTTGGCTGCTAACCAGAAGGCTGGCGGTTCAAACCCACCAGCCACTCCTCGGAAGGAAGGTTGGGCAATCTACTTCCATAGTGATACTGCCTCAGAAACCCAAGGAGGTGTCGCTGACTCAGATCGACTGGATGGCAGTGCGTCTGGTTTTTGGTTTTGTCTCTGAATGTTCATAGTTATATATGGTTGTTAGGTGCGGGAGTTGATTTTTGACTCACAGTGTCTCCATGTGACAGAGTAGAACTGCCCTGTAGGGTTTTCTGAGTTATAATCTTTATGAAAGCAGACCATCAGGGCTCCTTGTTTATATATACAAAGGAAAGTTACATTTCTTTAGGAGTTAGCTTTAACGATCTTGAATACATAGCACTTTTGCTAACTAATTTAAAACTAATAGGAAATTTGAAATTCATTCTAAATTATCTTGACTCTCTTTATCCTCTATTTCTTTTTCTATGTATGCAGGTTCGGGAGATATATCTTCAGATTCTATTGACCATAGCCCAGCCAAAAAGAGGATCAGAACTGTGTGCAAGTGTGGAGCTCTGACTTGCCGAGGTTACCTCAACTGAATTTTCAGGAAATGGAACTGATGATCATTTTAGTTTTGTTTTTTCTTAATGTTAACATTTAAAAAATCCCAAGTATTTGGGAATTTTTTTTCATATTATTAAGACTATTCTATGTTAATTTATAATTCATAATTCACATTTCAAAACATCAGCCAAATGCATTGTTGAGGCTTCTGAAGAGAGGAACACAGGATCACATAGACCAATTTGAAGTGTACATGTTTAATGGTTGGATACCAAGCATGGAAGGAAAAGTATTTACATATCAACATATACATATTTAAGAAGTTGGTGTGAATAGAGAAATGCCTCCTTCACTATGTGAGAAGTGTTAAACTGATAACGTAACAGTTGTTAAGATCAAACATTCAATTTGCCATACACCTTGGAGAAATACTAATTCAATTTGGACAAATACACCACCAGTTCTACCTTTGTAGTTACATTGTAATTCCTATTCACCTACTTAATACTTGCTGTACTTGTATTTGAGACAACTAGGTGATACCAGATTTTATATTCTATTTCCTACTTTTATCATTAAAATATTGGCATCTGAATGATGTAAAAATTAAAGGTAGAAAATTAAATGTAAAAAAAAAATTACTTATAGCTTGATTTCCTGTTTTGAAGCATCTATCTTTATGGAGGAATTTGTGTCTTATCTGGTAGTTCTTAAAGACTTTTTTACCCTGTGGATGAAAACTCTCTCAAAAACTTTCTCTGGAAGTCCAGAATACCCAGCCATTACACTTTTTTGAAAGGATGAGGCCATGGGACCAGTTGGTGGTGTGGGGTGCTAGTCGGGGCAAGCAAAGCATTAGGGTATCCATGTTGAGTGCCTCTGGTCTAAACACCCAAGCAAGACACCCCTAGAAACAGCTGTACCTAGTGATAATGTTACACACAGTACATTATATCTTCTGTATTTTTTAAAATTTCCTATAGACTCTTCTTAAAAAGTAATCTATATTTTGAACTGATACTTGTTTTATACATGAATTTTTTTAATATAACAAAGCTAAACTTGAGTTGGCCAAAAGTAGCTTTTTGTGTGCCTGAATTATGACCATTTGTTAGTTGAACTACAAAGACTGAAATGGAATATATTATAGATTTTTATTGTTTTCCTGCATGGTAAAGCCTCAGTCAGGAAAAATTGTTTTCTCCTATTTCTGATTCTGGGATTCCTAATCATGGTGTCCGATAAGATAAAATGCAGCAAATAAGTTTAGTTGTCAGTATTGCTAATTAAGTTTTACCTAAGCTCATTTTACCCTGAGCTTTAGTGGCCTAAAATAAGCTTGGGTAAAATTGAACTGACTTCAAGAATGTAGCACTTCAAATATCTTCTTCATGTTTTTTGGGGAGAAGCAACACTTTATTCATTATATTGCTTTCACATGATTTTGCTCTCATAAAACGAATAAATTGACATATTTGGAGCCTCAGTATATCTGCTAACTAAAATGTGCAGAATGTCCTAAGGAAAAATAGAATTTTTAATGCTATTTCTTAACATTTTCTTTATGAAAAATTAGTGAGATGGTATCAGTGCTGATAGAGTCGCAGATTTACAGGTTGCTCACAGTTGCCAAGCTTATTTCAAATTATGATGCTCACAGATTTAAAGATGCATCATAAACATTCTTTTTTAAAATGTCAGTGTTTTACTGTCTAGTTATTCGATCTTGTCTACTTTTCATGTGTTTAAAAAAATGTAAAACTGGAGGGCGAAGGAAAAGCTATTTTCACTAAACTGGTAGTTTTGTCCTTGTTAATAGAAATTTAATGCTAAGTTTCTTTGTAAACCTTATATTACTAAAGAGCTGAACTTCAGCAGTAAAATAATAGAAACATTTAATCAAAGCTGTTGTTAGGACCTTTCACTATTTTAAGCCAGCATTTAGCTTCTTTAATTTCCTGAAGTTGTCAAAATTTGTTCTCTCAAATATAAAGCAAATATTCAAGGGTGATAATTAGATCAAGTTTAAAATGTAAATCCACTGTACAAGATATATCAATACTGTTGTTTTCAGCATCTATACAAGAGGATTGTAATACACAAGTAAAATCTCAGGGTTTTTCCCCCATATTTACAAAATATACACTGCATTTATTTTTCTTAAACACTTTCTCCTTAGCAAAATAAATTTGGCCTTTGATGTTCTATTTACCATGTTAGCTTTGCTTCTGAATATTTTACTGTCATTTTCTGATAAAGCTACAAAAAAGGGCAGGAAAATAAAAATGTATTCCTGATTACCTGATGATGAGATTTAGTCAAAGGCTTGTATGCAAGTCCTTTAATGTTACTTTCCTTTTAAGAAAGCTTATCGTTGTTATGGTTCATGCATTTGAATATTAAAAGTATGGAATTTTACATTTTGTTAATATAATGTGGATGGGTATTTCTGAAATTTTAAAAATATCATTATAACCAGGTATTCAAATATATTTAAGTATTGCCTTGCAAATGCAAAGGAATTTCAGAACTCAGAGCTAATACTCATTTAACAATGTTTAGACCCTTTTAAGTTGGTGCTATCATCCCTGTATTACACCTAAAGAAATAGTCTTAGGCTGGTTAAATAATATTACTATGCCCAAGATCACCCAGCTACTAGACAGCAGACTATTAGGGAGGCAGTGGTGGTTCAGTGGTACAATGCTCACATTCCATGCAGGACACCTGGGTTTGCTTCCTAGTCAGTACATTTCACGCACATCTACCACCTGTCATTGGACCTTTGCTAGATGAATTGACAGCCAGTAACAATAACAGGGTGAGTATTTTAAGAACATTTAATCTTCAAATTTAGCCAAACTTTTTAACAATTAATTTCTGCTATGAAATATCTAAGTCCTGGGACTCCTCTCTAAGGCATATGCGGCTAGCCACTAGGCTTCTTCACTTTTCCTTTTTATACTTTTCAGTTCTTAAAGCAAAAAAATCAAGTAGCCACTACAATTAACTCTGTTTTTATATTCTTATTGAGAGGCATTATGGCCTAATGGTTAAGAGTATAGCCTCTGTGGCCAAATGGCCTGTTTGAATCCTGCCTTTGCCCTTTACTAGTTAATGTATCTCTCTGTGCCTTAATCTCATCTGTAAAATGGGCATAATAAATCTAACTACCTCAAAGGACTGTTGTGAGGATTAAAAGAGTTAATACATAGTATATAAAAGACTTGGAACAGTCACAGAGTAAGCACCACACAGTATTAGCTATTACTGCTCTGTACTGCAATTAAAAATCTCTGGTGGTCATTACATGTTTGTTGGTCAGTCTGTTCTGGTGTTTTTGGCACTTAAATTAATTCTGCCAGCATTTATCATATGCCAGACTTAAATAAAACAATGAAAATGTGGTTGTATGTAATACTGGTAGTGATTATAAAATGCTAAGAATATGTTCAAAAGACTGGAGATATTTTTTGAACACCATAGTGAAAAACCACCTTGAATCATAAACTATACTAAATCTTAAGTGTCAGTAAATGTATGCAAATAAAGTTATATTTGATTAAATTATGATAAATATAACTGATTTGTAGAGCCATAAATAAATGAAAAGTCTCGGGGTTTCTGTATTAGGCTTGTAGTTATGGCTAGATACTAAACCAACTACTTCCGATCCTTACTTGTTCCAGTGATTTTCTTTTTTAATGAACTTTGAATTTTTATAACTCTAAGGGGAGATGAGTAAAATGGAATGGATATAACTATAATCCTGTCCCAATCATGTTGTTGTTGGTATGTGCCGTCGAGTCGGACCCAACTCATAGCGACCCCTTCTTGGGTTTCCGAGGCAATCACTATGGAAGTAGATTGCCCAACCTTCCTTCCAAGGAGTGGCTGGTGGGTTTGAACCGCCAGCCTCCTGGTTAGCAGTCAAGTACCTTAGGCACTATGCTACCAGTGCTCCTGTCCCAATCATATGAGTCTGTACTGCTGCATATTTTAAAAATAAACTATTTCATTATACAATAAACTCACATCACCAGCTGAGTTAGAAAAGAGGGATCAGCATTCTTTTAATGACAAAGTTAATGAGGGGAAAAAACCTAGTATTTTTATATTCCTTTGCCCCCAGGTACCATACTTTAATACAGTCTTTGTTGTACACATTAATAAAACTTACTATTGAGTGATTTCTTAAAAAAAAAAACAAAACTCTGCCATTGAGTCATTTCCAACTCATAGTGGCCCCCACTGGGTTTCTGAGGCTGTAAATCTTTAAGTAGATCATCCCATCTTCCTTCCATGGAGTAGCTAGTGGGTTTGAGTCCCTGACCTTCCATTAGCAGCCAGATGTCTTATCCACTATACCACCAGAGCTCCTATTGAGTAATTTAGAGACTTTAAACTCAGCATATTTCTCTAAGATCAAACAGAAATGAGATGAATAAGACTTCTCCACTTCATCGTTATTCTCAGCCCTATTCCATATTACACATGCCAGTCACTTGTTACTCCTTTTGTGTCAGTTTCTTAGTTGGAGTTTGAACCTTAAGTGCCAGTATCTAGTTTTTATGCCCCCTGAAAGAAGTATCCCCAGATGGGCAAGGGGCTACTACAATCAAGCCTAATTTGTCCTGCTTTCAACATTTGTATATGGAACATTCCTATTTGGAGAAATGAGGGCTGGCTTCCTGGGTCCTTGTGGCATTGGCTCCTCTGAATGCCCAGTTTATTCTCCTTTCCCACTGACTCCAAATCTTATAAAACCCTAGTCTTACGGGTCTAGTACTTACTTTTGCATGATAATGCATATCACTGTTTAATCTACAAATTAATGCTTCAATGACTCCATCTAAACTTGTTTTAAGTACCTGCTTTTTGTTTCCTTAATCTATGAAATGTCAACATACTGAAGTGTTTTATATATTAATAAATGTTCATTAAATCCTCATACAAAACAATGCAGAAGCATAACCCACTGTTGATGGACTTTAAGAAAGTTGCACACATACTTTAGCCATGTAACTTAAGGATTTTTTTTCTAATATTAATTTTACCAGTGTATTTACAAGGTTTGTAAGTGATGTTAACATCTTTTGAGGTAAATAAGGTGCTTATTTTTTCCTGTAATTGACAATTTACTGACATAGATCCAAGTTTATTCATTCGAGAGGAGTATTTCTGAGTCAAGGTAGGGATTGTCTTGATGAATGTGCACTTGAGAAGAATGTATTCTGTCACTGAGTGGAAGTGGTTCTTATTAGGTGCCATCAGTTGATTTGCATAGTGACCCTATGTGACAGAACTGTCCCATAGGGTTTTCTTGGCTGCAATCATTACAAGAACAGATTGCCAGGTATTCTGCAGAGCCACTAGGTAGATTCAAACCATCAGCCTTTAGTTAAGTGCACCACCAAAACCAAAAAAAAAAAAAATAAAGAAAAACCCACTGCCATTGAGTTGGTCTGACTTGTAATGGCCCCCATTGGGTTTAAAAGGCAGTGAATCTTTATGGAAGTAGTTTGCCTCATCTTCCTTCTATGGAAATGGGTGGCATGTTCTATAAATGTCAATTAGAGGCAATAGTTGATGGTGGTGTTCAGTTCTAATGTATCTAATGTATGTTAGGTGCATACACATTTATGACATGTTTTCTTGGTGAACTGACCTTTTATCACTAGGAAATTTATCTGATATTAATATAGCTACTGTGGCTTCTTTCTTTTCATTCATGTTTGCATGGTTTATCTTTTTTTTTTTCATTTTTGTATTTTAACCTAGTATCATATTTGAAAGGTGCTCTGGTGGCACAGTGGTTAAAGCATTCAGCTGATAACAGAAAGGTTGGTGGCTCAGACCCACCAGCTGATCTGTGGGAGAAAGATGAAGCAGTCTTCTTCCATAAAGATATATTCCTTGCCAGTTCTACATGTCACTGTGAGAATCGAATTGATGGCAGTGGGTTTGTATTTGATTTATATCGTATCTGAAGTGAATTTCTTATAGACAGCATATAATTTTTGAATTATCATTCTGATAATCTGTCTTTTCATTGGTGTTTTTAGACCATTTTCATTTAATGTAATTATCAATAGGTTGCAGTTTACCTATACCATTTTATTATTTGGTTATTCATTCTGCTTTTTGTTCCTATTTACCCCTTCCTGCCTTCTTTTAGGTTATGTGACATTTTAAACTGCCCTATCTCAATTTATCCCTTGTATTTTTGACTATTACCTCTCTGTATAGGTTTTTTAGTAGTTCCTCTAGAATGAAGTAATTCTAATTCTTAAATATCTAAGAGTGAGCTTTTTTCTTTCTTCCAACTATTACACTCTCACCTGTTGCCAGCTTCTCATATAAATAATGTAAATGTTCTTGCTTAGGTAGCTCAGCATCTGGGGTTGAGGGAACTTCAAAATCAGAGGAACTCTGAGAATCTGCCTTTGTGCTAGGACTTAGCAACCATTTTTCCTCAGGTATGTGTTTCCCACTACTTACTGCAGTTGGTTCTCCAGTACCAACTCTATTTACATCTTGATCTCTGTTTTTCAAATCAGAGTGAGTATTCTTTGGACAAAGTGCATCCTGTTCCAGTGGGGAGGCAATAATATTCTCTTTAATTCTTGGTCTATAGCTACCTTTGTTTAAGAAAGTAATATCACTGCAGTTTCTCTCTTGGGAAGATAACAAAACTGTGTCAGATTGGCTGTCCCAGCCTTGACTTCCTTGTTCTGATATGTGTGTAGACTGAGAAGAATTCTGGGAAGAGATGTGGGTTGATTCCCCATCAGAGTCACTGAAAAGCTTTGGTGACTGAGATGCCCCTGCCTCTGTGGAAGAAGGGAAGTTTTCCAAACCATCATCTGTGACTTCATCATTTTTTTTAAAGAATACTTCCCACTGTGGTACATCCACATCAGACTTATGCTGCTGAAGTGTTAGAGGATCCATTCCTCCTTGCGAAGCTGGGATGTCTAATTCTTCTTCACCTTCACTGTTGGATTCTTGACAATCTACAAAGTTTGCCAAAAGAGAGGTTTGTATACTGTCTTCTTCGAAGCATCCTGCGCTTTGTCGTGGTTTTTCAGGCTGATTTTGTGATATTGTAGTCACTGAGAAGACTTCGGGTTGAAGAATTTCCTGGTTTGGAACCTTGTGCCTTAAAGGTACTGGTGGAAGGTCATCAAAGAGATCATCATCTTCTTCCTCTGTGAGAAAAACGAAACAGGTTTATAGGCAACAGAAAGCAGAGGTAGCCAATCTGTGCTTTTCACAGAAATCCAATTTGTGGCATTTCATTCTTGGAATTGCAAAGAATAGGAAGTTAATTTTTCAAAGGGAAATTTAAAAGCCCCTTATTCTTGGGAAATTCTGAATACTGTAATCACCATTGTTCAGTTTTCCATATGGGCAATCTACTTCCGTAGTGATACTGCCTCAGAAACCCAAGGAGGGGTCGCTATGAGTTGGGTCTGACTAGATGGCATGTAACAGCAACAAGTAAAATTGAGACTAAGATTTGTGTTCCCCAAATAAGGCCACAATGCATTTTGTTTGTAGTTCTTAAACCTGACAGCATTAACATCACCTGAAGAGCTTTTTAAGTTCTGCAGCTGGTTCTGTTCATCAGTCAGGTTTGCGAACTATGCAGAAGAGAAGTTTGCAAACTGTTTGTTCTGCAAATAGTAGATATTCAACTGAAAGGAAATTAGATGCTCTTGAGGCTGAAAGAATCTATGTATATTAAATGCTTGGCAAAAATGCTTCTGTAAAGATTACAGCCAACAAAACCCTATGGAGCAGTTCTGCCCTGTAGCAGATGGGGTCATCATGAGTCAGAGCCAAAGACACAGCAGCTAACAATAACGATGTATTTGGCAACTTAGTATTCTGCTGGATCTGATGTTAACTTACAATAACTTTCTTAAACAGTATTTTCCGAGTGATGTAGCTGACTGTTGCATTTTTAAAAGCCACTACAATAATGCCACAGAGACTAGCATGCAGTGAAGCTCCCATTTTACCAATAAGGAAACTGGCCCAGGGAAGGTATATGATAATGCATAACCTAGCTTAAAAAACTATCACCTAATGGCAAATCTTACATATATATATGTAAGATATATATATATGGTATTTATATTTCCAAATTTTAAGGAAGCACCATACCATTTTCCATAATGGTTGTACCATTTTATAGTCCCACCAGCAGTGTATGAGAGTTCCAATCTCTCCACACCCTCGCCAGCATTTGTTATTTTCTCCCTTGTTGAACTTTGCTGTTATTGCTGGGGTGAGATGATACACACAGTGGAATACTATGCAACATTAAAAAGAATAATGAAGATATATAATTTATTTTAATCCCTTCAATCATATCAAACCTATCTCAATTATTCATCTATTTGCCCTCTCTTCCCATCCTCTCCTATTCTGGTAACCAACAAAGAAAATTTCCTTCCCTGTGACTTTTTACAATAATGGACTAGTTTGTGTCAGAGCTAGTACTCAAACCTAATTCTTAAGTCCAATTTTCTATTATGATTTATAATTGTTTAAACAAGCAACTATTTATCGTATCCTTCTTTCCTAAAGGGCTGTGGTGACTAAGATGTCTAGCTACTGTATTTGGAATCACCCTAGTCTCTTAGATACGGCTTTACTTTAAGCCATGGATGTGTTTGCATTAGCTCTTCCACTAGTATGCTAGAGTGCTTCTTCTTATGAAATGTTTTTGTATTATCTAAGTTAATGTTCTTCAGGACCAGTGAGTATACCAATGTCATGGTATGTTTCAACTGTACAATACTTTAGTACAATGAATCCCCATATGTCCATAACCAGGCTTAAAAAACTATTAACTTAACCTAAATCACAATAAAAAAAAAAAAAAAGTTGAATGTAGAACAACAACAAAACTATTAACTAACGGCAAATCTTATTTTTTATATATATTATACCATTTTTAATCCCTTCAACCATATCAAACCTATCTCTTAATTACTTATTCATCTATATTCCCTCTCTTCCCATTTCTGCCCATCCCTGGTAACCAACAAAGAAAATTTCCTTCCCTGTATAAACCTTTTTCCCTTGACTTTTATTCAATAATGGACTCATATAATATTTGTCCTTCTGTAATTGACTCATTTCACTCAGCATAATGTCCTCCAAGTTCAGCTACATTATGAAGTGATTTGCTGATTCTTCATTATTCTTTAAGGTTGCATAGTATTCCACCGTGTGTATTATCTCACCTCAGCAATAACAGCAAAGTTCAACAAGGGAGAAAATAACAAATGCTGGCGAGGGTGTGGAGAGATTTGAACTCTCATACACTGCTGGTGGGACTATAAAATGGTACAACCATTGTGGAAAATGCTATGGCGCTTCCTTAAAATTTGGAAATAGAAACACCATTTGATCCAGCAATCCCATTACTAGAAATATATCCTGAAAAGGTAAGACCCAGGATAGATAAATGCACACCCATGCTCACTGCAGCACTATTTACAATAACAAAGACATGGAAACAACCTAAGTGCCCATCAACAGATGAATGGATAACCAAACTATGGTACATACTGTAAAATACTTTAATCTGTAAAAGTATTTTCACATTACCTCACCTGTATGCATCTGAAATCAAGTGATAGCAGTAGAAGCTAATTCTGTGACATGTTCCTTCTGTAATAACCATTTAAAAAATTTAAAACTTCTCTGTATGAAAATGAAAGGCATATAACACTAAGAAAAAGTCACAAGAAGTATGACATTGTTGAAATCCTCAAGGGTTTATGTAAACTGATAATTAGCAAGCCTAAAGCCTGTAAGAAAAGAAACCAAACCAAACCAGAACCCACTGCCATCAAATGGATCCCACTAACAGTGACCATATAGGATAGATAGAATAGAACTGCCCTATAAGGAGCTCTTGTGTCATAGTGCCTAGGGCATCTGACTGCTAACCAGAAGGCTGGCAGTTCAAACCCACCAGCCACTCCTTGGAAGGATGATTGGGCAATCTACTTCCATAGTGATACCACCTCAGAAATCCAAGGAGGAGTGGCTATTTATATGACATTGTCTACAAAAAGAATATTCTACAACAAAAAGAGCCAGTGAACTTGGTTGTTTCAACAATCAATGTAAAATTCTGTTAATCTCCTAGAATAACAACAAAAAAATTGACTTCTACCAATTTTGTTTTAAATGGCTCCTACTTAAATTTTGATGCTTGTTTCATAATAAATATTACCATTATAAATGAACAAATGAAAAGATGTCATAAAAGAAAATTTAATGGATCAGAAAACAAATACTACAACAAATAACTATATTGTTTTTAGATAGATCTTTCATCTCTAACAGGTAATAATTTAAAAAATTCTATTCTTTACTCTTATAAATTTTTCAATGATTTCATCACAATTAAGCTGCCAAATAATATCTACTTTCTTACATAATAATTCAATGTATCTTTCTTGAATTATTGTATGCTCTGGGGACAAAAAAGCATTCTGTTGTGCAATGTCTGATCATTAAAGTTAGGAATATGTGTAAAGCAATTTCAACACTGGGAAATACACATTGTATTTTATCTTCTATTAGAGAATCATACATTTCTGCATTAGTAAAACGTCTCTTTCCTGAATCTGTAAACTTAGTTCTAACATAACAATGAAATTGTTTGCACTTTTCCACAAAGATTTGTATTTAATGGGGTAAGTCTATACTAATTTCTTGGATGCCTTCACACATTCTTCATCAAGTATATCCACATTGTTTAAGGAGCAATATCTATTTGAAAGATTTTATCTACTTTCACCCTTCTTTTCTTTCTTGCAAGACTTTAAGCCAGCATTTAGCTTCTTTAGTTTCCTGAAGTTGTCAAAATCAGTTTTGTTGTGTTTTCAAATTTTTCTCTTAAACTATGTAAATACCCTGTTACTGGAAGAGGTTCGTGCTTGTCATTAAATTTACTTCTAAATCTTGGAGTGTTTGACTCATCCAGTGAAAATGCTGCAATATATTAACTAATTATATACTCCACTGTTTGCATTTTGTTGGCAATGTTTTCAGCTTCTCTTTTCCTATCCCCTTCTTGTGTCTAGTCTTCAATAATATTTTCTAAAGCATCTAGAATCTGAGTGTATGATTCCACGATTACACTTGTTGCTACACCATGTGCTTCCCAACATGTATTAGAAAGACGTTTTAATACTTAGTCATTGCCTGTGTATCTTTTAAGAACTGCCCATTGGTGAGCAGAGATGGGGAAACAAGTGCAGAGTAACTGAACAGAAAAAAATCAACTGCTTCTGGACAACAATCTCCTGTGCTAAGTCCTAAAACATTAAGTGAATGTGTAGCACATGGTATGAAAATGGTATATTCATTACATTCTAAAATTTTCTGTTGCATGACTTTATAATGCCCTGGCATATTGGCAGCATTGTTATAGGACTGGCCTCTGCACTGACAAAAATCAATGTTGCAAACTTCATATTAATAGTGAATAATCTGCTTTGCAATTTCTTTTTTTAATTGTGATTTGGGTGGAAGTTTACAGAGCAAATTTACTTGCAATACAGCAGTTCACATACACTTTGTCTCATGACATTGACTACAATTTACCACAATGCAACAACTCCTCTCCCACTTCCTCCCAACAGTTACCTCTTCCCTGTGTCCATCCCTCCATGCACTTCTGCCCCCTGAGCTGTCTCCCTGTGCATAAGGAGCCCTTATTTCTCCCATGATTGTTCTCTCCAAGGAGTGTATCTACCTGAGGTAAATGTTCAACTCATATGCCTATCTTTTGTTTGGCTGGAAGCCAGAGGTGTGAGTTCAATTCCAGACCTGAAGGGCAGCTAGGGGTCATAGTCTCAGTGGTTCCCCCAAGCTCTATCAGACCAGCAAACCTGGTTCCCTCCTCCTTTTTTTTTTTCCAAATGATTTTGAGTTTTGTTCCACATTGTTCTCCCTCTCTATCCACGATCTCCTACATAGATCCTCCTCCGAGTGGTTGACAGTGGTAGCCGGGCACCATCCAGTTCCTCATAGTCATATAGGCTGCAGATCACATGGTGTACAAGTCATAAAGACTAATTCTTTCCATGGATCTTTGGTTTTCTTCATTCTTCTTTGCTCTGGATGAGGAAAGACCCATCGTTGCATCTAGATGGTTGCTTGCAAGCTTTTAAGA